TCCACCACCCACCTACCCCCCCACAACCTCACCCGCCGCCCACCACCGTCCAAGAGATTGATGGTCCTGCGGCGGCGGTTTTGGCGACCGACGACCACCGCTACAGTGCAACAATAATATTATATTATTATATAGGTAGGTATGAATTACATCGACAAAAGATTTTAGTTTTTCGTCCCTACAGCAGTGGTTTTGCCATAATATCCGGTAGTTTTGCTCTGTTCGGTTAGGGTCATTTTTTCAAGAAGATATTTGTCCGTTTGGACACTGTAAGGTTCCTTGGACGTAGGTTTTGTTGACTGCGTGTCAACTAGAATAAATGGTAACTCAACCAAAAAAATGTATGATGTAATATAATTATCAATAATTTCTAAAAATAATGAAAGTAACTGCTTATTGCTGTTTTTTCATACTTATTAAGTATAAGTATTTAAATTGTTAATATATCAATGATCAAAAAATATGGAGTATGGTAAAAAAATATTATTATGGCAAGTTTAGTTACTGTGTACGGTACCTGCAAAGCATCGTAATTACTAACAGTAGATAAAGTAATATTTATAGTAGAAAATGATAAAAAACTGAATAGTGAAACTACTGTTATAGTTCTATGCTAAAGTTTGTATTTGGTGGTGGAGTGAGCAACGTCCGTTCTGCCCATGCACAATAATAGTTCATTAAATAGTATGTACCTGCTCCATCATTATTATTATTATTACTATTATTATTATTATTAACTTACCCACGAAAAATAAGAAATTTAACTACAATATATTGAATATAATATTTTATTGTGGCCTGGTGAGGCGTGGTCGTACGCTCAATATGCGGCAACGCTCTGAACGTACGTACCGGCCGTCGTTGCTAACACTCGGATGGGTGACCATCCGGGTTTTTAGCAACACATCCTCGCCACATATACAAACATACAAAAGTGTTCCAACCAACGCCCCCCCCCCCACACAGTACCAGGCTAATGACCTTTGTAGTTGAAGCCTTAGGCAACGCACGGATTCAGTTAGGACATAGCGTAAATCAAAAAAAAAAAAATATATTTTATCATTTTAGTTGCACCACGTCTATCATTCGCTGAATATTGGTATTTCCATAATTAATATTAAATGAGGCTATTTTAATATGTGGCTCGTGGTATTTTATTCGTCACCGACCTATTCGTTGGTCACTATATGGGTTCAGGTAGGTATTTTTGAGAATTTTATTTTGTTTTTAAATTCCGATTGAAGCTATATAATAACGCGTATTATTGGTTTTACTACAATTTCTGATTTTATTTTTATTATTTATGTATTATTATTTATATAACTTTCCATTACTTTCCATTATACGTGAACACTTTTCGGGGTAAAATCTAAAAGGAATTCTCAAAAAGTTTGTTACTCTGGAGACTAAACATGGTGTTTTGAAACTTTGTTAGAAACTCGAAAATATGTTCATTTTTCGATTTCATCAATACTCAATAGCTTCTTTAAGCGTGAGTGGAATAATTCAACAATTTTCATAGAAATAAAAGTTCTATATATATATAGCAATCCCATCTTTTTATATGAAAGGGATGAGGTATCATTTTTTCTTTTCTTGAACTATTACCGCTGTCCATACTTGTCTACATTTGATGTATAACGTACATTCTGTGATACTATTAAAATATATATTATGTACCGAAAAATAACATTACGATATGGGTACCTAATTAAAAATACAACTATATATTGCATGAAAAATACATGTTACTAACAACATACTAAAAACTGAAATATAACAATTGGTTAATATTTTTAAAGAGGTATCAACTAAAGATAATTAACACATTTATTTTTAACATAATACAATAATATAATAAGACCCTTATTTTAATCTTTCACAACCACATCAATAATATTATGCTAGGTTTAATGCTAAGACCAGGGTTCATGAATTATGTAGAATTTGCTAATTGTCTTAACACATTTTAAAATTTAACAGAGTGATATGGAAATTGATGTCATGTTATTAGGATTTCAAATATGAAATTTTAAAGTGCTTATTTTTCTTATTTTGGTGAGTTTTTTAATGCTTTTTTGATCTTACTACTTTTCTTATTTTTTTTTATCCCATCTTGTTTGACATCAAGCAGCTAGGTTTTGACCACTGATAAAAAATAATTAGTTTTTTTTGCCTTAGAAAAATATCATCAGCTAAAGAACAAATAGTAAATACCTAGTATTTCAAAATAATAGAAAAAAAACATGGAAGTTTTTTAATAAAGATCTGTTTTCATTGAAAAATGAACGAACATGTTTTTTATTTTTTCGGAATTTGAGGGTGGAACTATTTTTGTTAAGCCATTTTCTTATAATTGTATTTTTTGTAAAGTTTCTAAATTGACAATTTTTTGTCATTGGATAATTTAAACTAAATTGTTAGGCTTAGTGAGCTTTATGAAATGCGTGAGCAAAAAAAAAGTTTGTATGTTAATCTGCTTGTTCACGAATCAAATAGTAGTAACAGCTCTTCATTCAATTTTAGAGTATACATAGTACGCATAATATTATAATATCCTATTACGTAAGCGTTATTAGAGTATACATTGAATATTTTATTATAATCAAAAGATTATAATAGTTACTAAACTAGTGTATAGTGTATTTTTAATTCCACTGATCATATTATAATACATTTTAATTAGCGAACTCTCGAATTCAAAATAATATCTGTTATCTCAATTCACAGACGCATTCTCATTTCTAAAATATTTCTGAAAAAATGTTTTTTCATACAACCGCGTAAATCTTCATGCAGAAATTTGTAACTGTAACTATAAAACTAAAATAACACAATGCCCATTCTACTGAAATTAAATTACTGCTAATTGTAATTTGTGAATACAGTATTATCTTAACAAATTTATAATTAAATTATTCGTATAAACTGAGAAACAAAACTTAATTACCCTAGCTGTGCCATTTATATATATTGTACTAAGATAATGTATACGACAAAATATGTACACAAAGAAAACATTTTTAACTCATCTAAATTCTATTTTTCATATAATGGTTTTTTCAAGCAAATATTTCAATTTTTTAAATTTAAAATTAGTTTTCAGTAAAAAAAAAACACTACACACGCACTCTAGGAAACGTCTAGGTGTATGTAAATAATATTGTGTAATTTAATTGTCAACGCTGTATTTATAAACACTGTTTTGTTCGAATGATATAATTTGTATTCAAGCAATGTTGTTGAGTGCTGACAGCTAACACAGCGCGAATATGATAAATATTTATGAATCTTCTCCATTATTATTATACAATACAATATACACAGACCAACGAATATTGTCTAGCACAGTTGTTGTTGTTATATTAACGCTCAAATACAGAATTCGCGCTTGTACCCTCAGCTGCAAGTGTCGTTGACAATTATTTCACTTTATAATGTAGTATAATTTATAATAATTACTTTGAAGTTTAGACGTTCTCAAATTCGTTTTAACCATAGTACCTAAGTAAAAAATGAGAATAAGGTTATATCTACTGAATTTGAATAGCTTATCTGTTCAAGACATAGTAGTTTCGGGAAAAAATCTCAATTTTAAACAGTATTTATGATGGAATAAAATCATAACCGTATTCATGAAAAAAATTACTTAGGTGCACTGTAATTCTTATACAACTCTAATAACGACTATAAATTGAAACCCATAAATAACAATCACAGTTCTTAAGTATAACCTTCGCAGCTTTGAATATAGTTTGTAATACGGTCGACTAACGCTTCGTTTCAAGTGAAAAGCTTTTCGGTCGGATCTTGATGCTTTTCGTACACATTCAATTCGATATCCAAATAACTTGATTACTATTACGTACGCGTATCGAAATCCATTGAGACGCACTCTACCTTGCTGGTATGGGTTATTTCCGATTATCAACAATAACGTAGTCATCGGTGGTCGGGTCGATTCAATTAGACTTTTGAAAGACGAAAAAAACTGTGTATAATAATAAAAAAAAACCGATACATGTTTCCCGCAACAAATGGGGGATGAAAGATTCCTATTTTACGGTTGGTCACACATTTTAATATCCGGCGTACGCGCGTACGTCGTTGATTTTCGCTCAACAATACCGGCAAAAATGACAAGGATTATTGGATTTGGACCCATAAGCCCTGTCCAAAGTGGGTTCCATTGTATCGCCGTTCTTGGTGAAATAATGGTTTACGAAAATCCAATGATGTTTCAGTTGTAGTACACGTCGTGTCATAATATAGAGGCGACGGTAAACAACAATAACGGAGTACAATAATAATATTATAAACCATAAATAATACGATATAATATTTATTATTAATTTGAACTCTGTCATTATTTGAATATGCCATTGCTATCGATGTTTGACTCAAAACGGAAAACAAGTTTATATTATGATTGCTAGTACCTACACATTAACTTATTATAACATATTTAAATTAGCTAACCACTGAGTCCCCATGAATCATGTAGAATAATGTTATTGTTTTACATACATACGTACGTACAATTTAGTTAATTATAACATTTCATAATATCCAATTTAAGATACAAACGTTCAACAAAATATTTTATCGAAAGAAATATTTATATTATCACTTTAGGATAAAACTTTTTAATTAAAAGCTTTAATTTAACTAACAATTTAAAAATATTAAGACTAACATATAATAATAATCTGTATAATATTTAAAGTTAAATTTAACATCGTGAATGTTGTTATATATGTTTTCATTTTGTTTTAATTAAGCTTTTTAATTATATTTGTTTACTTCAATCGTTTAAGTTATTTATAAGTATTTAATGTCTGTAATGAATATTATAAAAATCCTATATTAATTTTTTTAACTTAGTATGTAATATGCATACATTGTGTACTGATGTACACGTTTTCTTTTAAATATAGGAACATTATACTTTATTGAATTTCGTAAAATGTACAAACGTATGCCATTTTTTTTTTTTGCAGATTTATTGCCTCATAATTTATCCGGACAAGCACCAACCAGAGAGTTTCTATTAAAAATCGTTGATATCTTAGTAGATTACATCAATGACGTTAATGATAGAGACGAAAAAGTATTGCATTTTAAGCACCCCGAGGAGATGTTGCGACTGTTGAAATTGGAAATTCCCGACGAAGGTGTGCCGTTGCAAAATTTAATTGACGATTGCAGTCTAACACTCAAGCATCAAGTAAAAACAGGTAAGAAACTTGTTTCGTTTTCATTGACAGCTTTCTTAAACCGTTTTGATAGTTCCCCGTGTAGAGTTTTCAAAAGTTCAAAGTTAGAAGCGTATTCTCGCGGTTTGTACTTGTACACAAAACTTTATATTATGTAGGCGCATACATTAAATACATATGGCACTTAGTATATTATATTTAATACAACATGTATACGGTTTTATGAAGAAACATATGTTTCCAATGTGTCATGTACGGTTTCAAACTTTATCGAGGGATGGGGTGTGATGGTTCTGATGACGAAAACGCCCTTGATATTAGTGTTTCGAGAACAAGTGGTGCTCTACGCATCACATTGTGACCGGTGTACGTGACAGCTTTCAACACACGAAAGAGCAATCGATTTTCAACAAATATCCCCAAACATTTATACAGGCGTATTGTGTCCGATAAGATTCGTTTGATTGTGCATTATACTTGGGCATACAATGGCACATTTATAAATATATAAAGGTAGGATAGTAGTATAGTACTCGTAGTCGCAAGATGTAGTACTTTAAGCTCTAAATCTGGTGTTGATAGCTATAGACGTCTTAAATACTGAATATATTATATATTTATGTAATATTCTTGTATTTATCATTCATCAACTACAGCGTATTATAAATAATATCTGCTGTTACGGACTTTGATGTGACGTCAACAAATTAAAAGTCTGTAATCGAGAGATCCCGGAAACATATTGGTTCAAAAGATTCAATATACTGAAGAGTGATTTTTTTTTCATAAAATATACTAACCATCTCAAAAATTATTAACGTTTGTTAAAAAATTTAATTTTTACATCATTTGAATTTATAATGAAAAATTATCGCTGATAAGTGATTGATCACACAATATGTATCATTTTTAATTTCATATTACCGAGTAAACATTTCGGTGTAGTTCAGTCATAATTTGGTAAGTTTATCAATTTTAAAGACCAACAATTTACAAAGTTTCTTCTTGTACTACTCCTCTACATTTTCATACCATCACTTTTATTATAACTCTATGTACCTACTATATAGGTACTATTATGAAGGTATTTTAGTTATGTTATACTACTATATTTCCCTTATATAGATTCTTAAAATTGCAGGTATTCCCAAACTTAATAGTTAATATTACATTCCATTGGTGGTTGTAACTTTGAAAGTACGCAATTTAACAGTGTTATCAGAATAATATATTATACGCATTTACGTATGTAACAATAATTGCGAGTTGTGATAATTAATGTATACAGCACATTATTTATACCTATACACCAATGAGTACCTATCTATAATATAACACCGCATTTCAGTTGATGTGAAATTTGTTATTAAATTTAGCAGCTACAATGCTACATATTTAGCACTTATTTTCTGAACCATATAATATCCATATTTTTTTTGTGAAAATGTAATTTAATCGGTTTGCATCCTCTTATTTATTATAATCCAAAAAATCATTTGTTTGAATTTCGATTCAGATAATACATTAACATTTTCAACGAAAAAAAAAACAATAATGTTTGTTCTCATTTGAAAAAAAAACAAGTTTGTATCGCAATAAGACATTCGCTAGAGCTTATAGAAATAATAGTAGAACAGTGGCTTACAGTATATGAAAATAATTAAGTAGATATTACCTACTTATTTCAAAATATAGTTTACAAAATAACTCGAGAATTCAGAATTTGAATAAACTCAATGATATTATAAAGGAACACACTGGAATGAGCATGCTTGGTGATTCACCCTGTATATTATAAAATATTTAATAATATGCCGATGACAGTAGAGCAGTGGCATTGGTTGACAATGAGCATAATATTATAATATTATATTAAGCATTATTATTATGATGATGTGACGACGCCGAAACACCCGCGGTCATACGCGTACCTATAATACATTTGTAAAAATCTTCATTGCGGCTGTTGTGTGTATTCACTTGGGGTGAAATCGTTTTTGAATAGTCCCGGAGATTGGGCGGCAAGGGGTGTTATCACCACTGACGTCTGTCGTGTGCCCGCAGTGTGTTCGGTGACATCCGTCGCGATGTTTTCATTATCATAATCTTGAATCGGATTAATTTCCGCTCTTCCGACCACCTCACCCCACCACATCCGAGGCAACGGGGCCCTCCTCAAAATGACGACTGCGGCAATGATAATAATGTAAAAACAAACTGCGGTGTACACGCAAAGTAGTCGCGAAGTAATATTGCACGTACGGCGTAGGGTTTCCGAATCGAGTCCACGTCTCCCATTTGCGGTTCATTGTTGTACGCCACAGAAATTCGAATCAAAAATTCGTCAGAAACTCGCATGGTTTAATACGGTTTATATATAATATGAACACAACTTCAATATATGTTATTGTATTTTAATACATACCACTCGTAAACGCCCATTGTACTTATTATAATATGTATTGTGTGTATATACAGAGCGCATGGCGTATCTGGAACATTTAATAATTGTATGCAACGAAATTGCATTTAAATATTATGTTTACCCGTTTATCTTTTATACATAACTTAATATATGAAATATCTATATTACAATGTAAACAATATGCTGAAGAGCTTGTAATCCATTTAACAACATACAACACTCATTTTCTAAGTCAATTTAAAAAAAAAACATAATTGTCCATATAATGTGTTAAATTTTTTGTCATAGTGGTGACTTACGTTTTTTTTTCATGATTGAATCAATTATGATGTTTGATTTGATATATATCGCTGGTAACAATATTCATTAATAGTCATTCATATTAAGTTTTTTTATATTCAAAATATATTTTAAATAATATGATAACCCACTGTCACGATTAGGTGACTATGTTTGTTTGCCGTTCTCATTGCAGGACCTATGCATTGGGTGGAAAAATAATTTGATTAGTTTTTATTTTATTTTTCAGACCCCTATTTATATCTATTATACCTTTAAAATATTATTATTATTATGTTCATTCTCATTTCTCAGACCAAGTAAGTACGACGTCCGTTTATAATAATTTCTAAAGATCGTAACAAAAATAAGTAAATAATTCTATAGACTTTTTTGCCGTTGTCAAATCACAGGATGATCGATAAAGGGGCACGAGAATCAATTTTCAATGATACCTATCTCAAATCGATTGACTAAAATACACATATCTTCATGCAGTGTACGCGGTTTCCTGGTTTAAATCTCAGCCACATCCATAATATAATAATAGATACGATTCTTTTCAACCTATACGTAAATATAACCGACCATACAATTTTACATAATATAATATCATATTCTATCATCGTGCATTCCGAGATAAAAAAAAATATATATATTACCTTCGGCCTTCACAGTATTTCTTTAAATAATTCTATTATAAGTAACATGAGATATTTTTCATTTTTTTTTCTCAACGAAATGTTACATATTCTTACTGTATAGTTATTTTATGCCGGACATTTTCTTTGACTTTTCACCTTCATTTATAAACATTTATGGGTCCCGGTCTAAATCTAAACTTCTTTATTGTTATATTTACATAATATATTGCATAGCGCGTTATATCCATGAAAATATTTTAATATAAGTTTTTAGTCAATGGTGCTTATGTGCAATGTGTTAGGTTACAGCCAAGGCAAACTTTTTTCTTGATAATAATCTTAGTAATTTCGATATGTAGATATACTCTAAAAATGTATAATTAGACATAAACAATAAGTCTGGCGACTGCTTATGTCGTTATATTATGTTTTTAAAATAGAAAATACCGAAGTAATTTATTTAATTATACTTAAGTAATATTTTTATATTCAAAAATCAGTATACCCGTAATAACTATAATAAGTAATAATATTTCCAAAGTTAAATAAATATTAAAATTTAATAAAAAATGTGGGTAAGTGGTTGCCGCTCTGCTGTACATTAGGTGTTGTAATTACTCACTACAATTGATTTGTTAAATTTTAAATCTTTGACATTTTTTAAGCACAGTTTCCATTTCGTCGAGTATCATGTTTGGCCTCTGGTCGATTTGTTCGCTGCTTTTTGGTTTTATTATTTTGTTTATTTATACGTTTTTGGACTTTTAATGGTGTTTTTATTTCGTATGTAAATATTAATAGTAGTTTCTAAATGTTATTGCTGACATTTCCTTGTAAGTATAAACTGATTTTTTCTTTTCCTCTTTGGGAATTTCAGTTTTTCGTTCATTGTTTTTCCCGACGCTTTTGAAAACTACTGGGAGTTTTTTAATTTTTACCCCCTTATGTACCAACAAATTCGGTTTCCTAATAGAAAATATGCCAAAGTAGAAAATCGGGGCATTTTTAATGCAGTACAATACTACAATATATGTCAAGTGTACTTCGTAATTTGTTAGGTTACTGAAATGAATCCATTTGAACTCAATGATACACCTATGATCGTATATGAAAAACAATTCTGAGTAAAGAAGGTCTATAACTTTTTAGTAGCCATGTTTAATAATCAATTATTTTGATGATAAAATTAAACCTTTAACAAATATTGGTATTTTTTTTTTTTCTGAATTATTAATGTTTTCGAACACAAAAATAAATAATTAAAACACACTTTACCGTAAAAATCAATACATTTATTGCTCCACCCAGAATCGAGAATAATAATATAAATATATGATATTACAGTGCTTCGAATGCAACAAATTCAAAATTAATTGAACTTAGTAGGTGATAAATATATTACATATATTATACTTTGTGCGTGAGTATCAAAACCATAAATATGTACTTAAAAACGTAGTCATCCATTTCTGCTGCAAGTTGCGACAAACCGCAATCACATAATAAATCCAAGAATTCTATCAGTGCGAAACTCAAGTATTTCTTAAAACCCTGTTTGACGGTAATGTACAATTTGGCGTCAATACATTTCCGAGTACTGTAGTCCGGAACTGAAGTTTTGTTTGCTTGACGACATCAGTATATCGTTCACCGTTATGGAAATATTTCTTTAA